GAGTAGATTCGGGCAAAAGCAATCGATTTTCAACAACGTACAGTTGTAGCATGGAAGATCAAGCGCCGTGGTAATTTTCCCTTCTCAAAGTTCTCAATTAGAAACTAAACGCATGCCGCGTGTGTATACGCACTCTTGCCGGCTGATAATGATTTGGTTACAAAGCCTGTCGGAGGATTTGCAGCTTAGACGGAAGGTGGAAGGTTCCCCTGAAGGGCTTTGCGCGTTCGACGTGCAACCAAAATCCTCTGAGTAAAGGAAGAACCCGTCGCGTCGCGTCGCGTCGCGTCGCGTTGGGATGAAAATTAGCTAAACGAAGGGGAACGTTAACCAGGGAACAGTAGACTGAAAAGAAAAAGTTTATATTTTTTTCTACAATTCAGAATAAATTCTCAGAAATTGTCAGAGAAAGTAGAAACAAATATAACAAGTAGGTACAATTTACGGTAATAAAAAGAAATTTAAGAGGATTACAGACTCGAAAAAGAAGAATAAGACAATTTTTAATTTGAAGAAGGTTCGCGAACGAACGAATCCAAGATTGAATAATTAAAGGGGAGAAAGGGGGAAGAAAAGGGGAAGAAAGGGAAAAAAGTGAAGAAGAGTGTTTCAAGTAGCAGAAAGAGTCGTCCAAGTAAGAGGCGAGGGAGCGAAAAAAATGATAAGAAACGAATGCAACCTTCTCTTAATATGGGCTTGAATGATTGAAGAGCAAGAAGAATAATATTCGAATCTCGAGGGAAATCAACAGATAAGTGACTCGAGGGGAGAAGAAGTCGTAGAACGGGAATTTGCGAACGAACAAGCACATAATATCTTTTTTTTCCTTCTTTTTGTGCCCTGTATTCACGTGTTAAAGCACACTTTATATATTCATTTATCGCGTTCCATAGTTACCCGTTTCGAGCTCACGAGTTTACAGGCTTTCGCGGTGAAAGAGAGGGAAGAGGGTGAAGAGGGGGAAGAGGGGAAAGAGGAGGAAAATAAAAATCCGTTTTATCCCGCTGGCGAGACAGAAACGTTTTCAACCCTTTGGCATTGAAACATCGAGCGAGAAATCGAGTAGGGTTTCGTTACTCCCTTCGTTTAATATTATTTTCTTGGTAAAATATCTTTAGTTGAATTTCAAAGGAAACAATACCCTTCAAACAATCACTTTTCTTCGTTTTTCTGATAAGCAAATGAATTTTTTATTTGAAAAATCCTCTTATCCAAGGACAAAGTCAACTTGCATCGCGTTTGTTCGCGTTGTTCGAATCTTCTCTTTCTTGATCTTGTCACTTTTTTTCCTTTTAACTTTTTCCCCCGTTTCTTTCTCGATTTCGTTGGTTCGTACGCAGAGGGTACTTTTTATCTCTTTTCTGCTACCGACTTTTCTGTCCACAGAGCTGTCGTCATAAATTTTCATCGACGTTTCGCGTGAGCGCAAGAGTCAAGGGGGCAAATAATTTATTCGTTGGTCGGACTGAAGGAGAGATCCGAGCCTGATGCTTTGCCAATTGTTATGCAGATTGAAGTAACATCGAGCACCGAGCACCGAGCATCGAACAATTTCGGGGTGATACCGGATTCAGGCTGGCTCGCTAAGTAACTCAGCACACGCCTTTGCCACCTTTAATTGCTTGACGATTTACGATTTACCGATTGGTCCATCGGACCATCTAGACTCTAGAGTAGCGGATGTAATCTTGATTTCAATTATACATAATTACCGAGATGGTTATTGTTAATGAGCACAAAGACAGGGCAGCAACAGCGAAGGCAGGGTGGACCATTGTCACGAGGGTACAATTACAGCCGCGTAATATCTGGTAACATTAATTACAATAGTAATTCAACAGGCATCGTTGATCGATTAGCGGATTAGCGCGATGTCGGAATAATCGTATAGTCGTTCTACTTGTTCTCCTAGGATACTCGTTTAATTCCAAAGCGCCATCATTTCATTTCATTTTCTTCTTTTCTCCACACTCTTATTACAAATTATTCCGGTAAAATGATACCCTTGTTCGGCCAAAGACAAGATAAAAGAATAAAAATAAAGAAGCACTGGCAGATCGGTAATAACGAGACGACAGTGATTGCAACGCGATTAATTGGCTTCTAGGGTGAAAATCGAGGCTCGATCAAATTCCATCGGTCTTGAACGAGCAAAAAGAAGCAAGGAAGAAGATTAATGATCGCTTTCGTCAGATTACGCGTAACGAGCTAGCGTTCGTTCAGTTGGTCCATCTGAAAAACTGTTCGATCATCCCCCCTTTGGGTAACTGTGGTCACAGATTATTTCGTGTCCCTTAAAATGGCACTTTGGCACTTGAGAGGAAGTCTGGACTGGCCAACGTCCAGATAAACGTCCGATTTATCTTTTGCAGGCTGCCAGCCTCAACCAAGGGTAGGTTTTTCACCTTCTCTGGGCTGTTTTATAATTCGACCAAAGCGAACACCACGACAACGACGAATGTCCCGCAGACGTTTTGTTTTCATCGTTGATGGATGGGTCGGAGGTTAGGGAAATTCTTTTTCATGCAAATGATTTCTTATACATATACATATATGCTCTTTAGAAATAGGTGATACAAAGTAGTCGAAGAATCTTTTAACAAATAAATCTCTTGTTTTATTTGACAAGTTCGTATGTTTCTTTGAAATAAGAATATCTCAGCCTGAACAGAGAGTTACGAGATACGAGATACGAGATACGAGATACGAGAAAGTTGTTGAAGACAAAGACAAGCAAGGTCTTGGACACAATTTCGAACAATCGACTCAACGACCAAAAAGACTCGTCGTAGATTCTACGGGATCAGTTAGAGAACTCTAAATTCGTAGACCTTTCTACTCTTTTCTCCGCAACTCACCAGTCAGTATAGATCTTCTAGAGAAAGAAGAAGAAGAAGATGAGAAGGAGAAGGAAAGGGAAAAAGAAACTTTTTCATTCGGTCGTCGAGTAACGATATAGAACGAGCTCCGACCTTCCGTCGTAAATCCGTCGCGCCAGGAAACTGGAAGAATCCGTGGACGACGACGACGACGATAACGACGAAACCGGAAGTAGAGGGTAACCGAATAGAAAAAAAAGATGAAGCAGAAAAGAAAGGGACAAGGAAGGATAAAGGGAGGAGAAGGATGCTTGTTAATCCGACCACGCGAACGATTTTCATGGTGCAGGAACGACAGGAAACGTTGTGCGATGCATGATTCATGAACCGGAAGTCGAGGACGCACGCATGCCTGGTTAGTTTTCGAAGCGGCCTCCTTTGTACACGGATCGTTTAAAGGACACGCGGGAAGCTGGTTGAAGGATGCGTCGCGTTTTGCATGCAAATGTTGTTTTCGCAATGGCGAAATCTGCGTTGCTGAAAAAATAATTAATGAAAGATAATGAGGAGTTTGCTTCTATTGCTGGCAGCATTTTGGAACATCGTGTTGCGTCGAGTTTGAAACGGGCTACCTATGAATAATCAACTATTCTTGGCACAGTCGGGCTAGCGTGTTAGTCACTTTGTAGTCCTCTTCGCTTTTCTACAAGTATCGTACGCTCCTGAGTCACTGCTCTTGTGCTCTTCTACGATTACAACCTACTTTTTCGGGTGAAATCAACTTTAAAACGACAATCGTTAGTTTTAGATTTTAGAGCTTACTATTAGTAAAATAGACGGTAGAGTGTAAAGACTATCCGATTGTCTGCTTTTCCTCGTTGAATGTAAGAAATGGCTCTAGGTATCGTTACAACGAACCTTTCTCAGTTTAAAACCCCGATTGTCAGAGAAAAACCGAACACGGACGTCTGGATGGTTCCCTCGGGAATTAAGGAGAAAGAGTCGATCTTTGGTACACCGATCAACCAGAGATATTTCCCTCCTATTCCTTTCAGCTTCTTCCCTTTCGTTCCGCTAGTTTACCACCAGAACTTTCGTTCGAGGAGCGCTGAAAATTGAGCAGGAAATTTATTTCAACATTTCACGGCTTTCTTCGCGTTATAAGTACTTTTCGAATGTCTAACAAGCGATCGTCTGTTTCGTTGCTTTTCTTATTGTTAGGGGAGGTTATCGAAAAGTTTTCAACAAGAAAGCACTCGTAGTTTCTATTGCATACGGGTGGTCATCAGGATAACGTCTCACTCGTTAATATCGATAACGATGTTCTTGTCTGATTTTTATTTACTCGTTCTAATTGTTCCATTTTCTATGGATTATATCCATTTATCTTACTAGACGTGTACTTATCGTATCGTGTATGTATGTATGTATGTATGTATGTATGTATGTATGTAGATCGTAGAGGGTAGGTACAATTGAATTATCTTCCAATGAATTTCGAACGAGGCAAATCGTTACCAACTGTCGAGACAAGTTGTCTTAAACGACGCTAATTACATTTATTAATTTAGCCCGATGGCGTGTATTAACGCGTTTTGCCAGCATTAAAGGTCAAACGTAAAAGGTAAGCGAAGCTCGCGGTTTAAAACCGATGCAATGCGATGTTTTCAGTTGGAGTCCTCCTCGCTTCGGTTTCATGGAAAGCCATTAACGGTAAGGGGTTGTTGGCTGTGGGGGTAACTGGCGAGTAGTCGAGGTCTAGCGTCGAGTTAAGGGTGGACGGTCCAGTCCGTTTGTCCGCTGCATAAACAGTCGACAAACGTAAGTCAAACAGGAGTCAATTTACAAATGACTGCTTTCCCTTTGCTTCTACCTAACTTAACCTAACTTAACCTAACCAGAACACTACACCATTTCCTGTATACGTTTCATCGATTTATTACGAAACATCCATGATTATTTCGATTCTTTGGTCGTTCCATTTTCCTTTGCTGTCACTGTAATCACATCCGGTTTCCGTTCAATTTCCTTTCAAGGTAGCAACAATAATTGTTCACCTATTCCTAGATTAGGGAGAAAGGAGTTTGAAAAAAATAGTCCGTACGCGTAACACGAGATAATTTTGAAGTTTCACAGAATCTCTATCTCTAATGTGGTCGTTTTATCGATCGATGGAGACCGCCGCCGAGTTGGTCGTTGGCCGAGTTGGTGAAAGGGTATTCTTCTGGTTCGCAACAGCTTGGCAGGTGGTTGCAATATTTCGCGTAGCTCGAACACCGGTGTTGATCGAAAGGAAGAAACGTCTGAAGCTCTTCTCTGGCAACCCACCTCTTCAACCTCACCCTCCGCATCGCAAATGGAATTGAACGTCAGAAGCTCGCCCCGCCCCGAACAAACCAATTTGTGCAAGCAAACAATTCCGTGGAGATGTAAGTAAGCGGAGCTTGCACCGCACCAGATTTCCCTTTAATTCGTCTCTCACCCCGACCCGAAGGAAACGAGGAGAAAGAAAGAATTTGCCTCTTCTAATCGACGACCTCCAACTTGCTTCTTTTTCAACGTTCATTTCACCCGCGAACTTGCCCTCGAACAACGCATGCCAGTTCCTTAAAACTTCCGCTCGTTTCCTTCCATGACGGTGACTTGAAATTCCCTCTGATGGGATGAGAAGAAAGGAAGAAAAGTGAACGCGTCATTAGCGCTCGAACAAAGTTTTGATCGTGTTCCTTCTAGAATTCCTTTCTCATTGTCAGTTCGTTTTTTTATCCTCCATTTCGGAGGACCGAAATAAACCATCCTGTTTCTCCCCTTTCCGTCGAAATGTGTAATTCAATTAATCGAAAGATTAGACGAAATGAAAGAGAGGTATGGAAGGTCGGAATTGTCGCGTCACAATTTCAAAGACTTTGAGTGTGGAATTGGAAAAATTTGTAAATGGGCTGCGTAAAGTTGCTAATTTCTACCTGAAATTCTTTCCAAGATATTTAATCGTTTCGAATGAAAGTTTAGTAGGAGAGCTCCGGTCCCGAAAGCTCCGGTCGAAAGGAAACAGAGGCGACGCGACCTTAAGAGTCGATAATTTGCGCGTGAAACAAAGCCGAGATAGGGGAAGTGAAATGGAACACGGCCTGGTTTCTTTTCGTCGCGGAAACCAACCTCTTCCGTCTTTCCTGTTGAAAATGCGCCTGCGTTGCCACGCACTAACACTCTCTCAGCTGAATGAATGCATCGTATGTTCTACCGTATGTCGATAGACTCATAGACTTTCTAGGCGTTTCGCGTTAGAAAACGTTCGTGCAACGGATGAGATCGATTCAGTTAATAGCAGATCCATTTGTCCATTTGTAAATTCATTGGGTAGCACGGGTAGTAAACGGGTGGAACGATCGTAATTGTTAATTGCATCGGCCTGTCGCGACTGTCTGAAATCGTACGCAAACGCATTAATTTTATTTATGTAATTAATATGCTGGCCGAGTGTGAGAGAGATGGACGCAATAGAGGCTGTTACACCGTCCCAATTAACGATAATGCAACGTATGTCGAATCGATCATACATACATATATGATTACGAATTCGTTGCTGCTTCCTGTTTGGCGCTGCAACTTTGGTTGACCAGGTTCTCGGATCACTCGGGTCACTCGGGTCACTCGGGTCATTGGAAAATTATTATTGCAACTGTTTTGCGGATAATCTCGCGGACGTTAGACGTGCCGCTAGTTGCTTCCTCATCTTCTTTTCAATTCCATTTTGATAGAGTATCTCTTCTTTTTTACGTATTGTACTCGTACAAACGAAATTCTCGATTTTTCTGGATGAAAAGGAAGAAGAGCATCAATTCATTTTCTTTCTTATCGAGTTTAAAGGGTAAAAAAGTTTTAATAACAACTAGGAGGTTCCTTCTTGTTTGCGACGAAACGCAAACGGACGCGACGGAGAGATGTTCTAGCGTTAGAGAACATTACGCATCGTGTGTAATATTCAACCCCGTCTAGTCTGGTGTCTCACGTGTCAGAAGAAGCTTCTCTTTGCCGAAAGTTCTGCGAACTTGTGCAATATTGCATTACACGTGGCTGCACACCAAGCACCATTTGCGATTTACATTTTCAACAATTTCCTGGCATTTCAAGCTACGTTGTTTGCTGTTCCTCGCAAAAATAAAACACCATTTCGAAGCGAAGCATCGTTAAAAAGAAAAATATTTGTTACCGTTCAATTTTTCGAGAGACGACTAATCGTAAGATAAGCGAACAATTTGCTAAAGGGCGACTTGGAAAGCTTCCAGCGGAAGGCTTTCTGTAAAAATCTCTCGATCGGCTTCACTCTTGTAATACGATAATCTGCCCTCCCTCGAATCAATTCTCTCTGATGACCCTCTTGCTACTGCCCGTTGTCAATCAACGTTGCATTATTCATCTGGCAGGATGAATTTATGAGTTACGAATTGCCTGTTGTAATCTGAACTAATCCATTTAATCGATTCCAACAGAGGGGGATTAATTCCTCGCGGCTACTACGCGTTCGCTACAAATTACATTTAGTCGTGTAATTGGAAAAAAGCCTTGTAAACGAAATGAGACGGATAGCAACTGGATCGAAAGGAAAAAGGTTTCTCCTTTCCCGTTTCCGTTTCCAAAAGTTCGCGTTCGCGTTACAGTAGTCGCACAACAAAAGCAGCCAGAGAAACCGCGCTCGTGTGGATTCCGCAAATAATTCGAAAGCGAACTTTTATAATCCGTGGAAATTCTTGGCAGAGATTCCATTCGGATACGAAGGTTGTTGGAACGTTGTTGCGGCTGGTAATATTGGAGGAAAAAATCGACATTCTTTGCCGAGGGTGGTCGTCTGTCTGGTGAGAAACTGGCAGCAGAGGCTCGGTGATGTTTGTCGATGTTTTTTGACCGAGGAAAAATCTGCCGGTTTCAGGCTCCTGTCCAAAACGATTCGATTCCAAGTCCGTCGATTCGTTGAGCCAATCGATCGACTCGGGCTCGCTCGGAATTGAAACAGGATCGGTACATACACGGCTAGCTGTCGCGTCGGCCAGATGTGTTTCGCTAAAAATTTCTGCGCCACTCTCGTTGCTCGGCCGATTCCCCAGCGTTCAAGCTGATGAACGCGCCGATTGGAATCGATTGCTCTTATCGCTGGCCGAATTAAACGATTGGCTTGTGCCAATCACCCTTCTGCTATTTTTGAATCGTCGAACGGAACGATAGCTACCCGTCGCGTTGCGTTTTATACCATAAATGCTAAACTGCTCGAGAGTATTAGATGCAGGCGTAGGTAGAGAAACGGTTTTAAGTTAGTTCTGGTTAGTTGTAGCAGCGGTGGTAAAAAGAAGGTGATTTTGAAACTGGGCTACAGTTTGCTCACCTTGATGGAAGATCCGTAACACAGTAAACTGATTCTGGTCTGGTGGTGGTGGTGGTGGTGGTGGTGCGCGCTGCTACGAACTCGTTCCCGAGTAATTTGCAAATCAAACAGTGAAACGTTTCCCCGGTTGATCGTGGCCAGAGGAAAAAATCGTGCAGCAAGCTGGCCTCACGCAGTTGAGCAATATCAATTATCGAAACCAACTTGGAACAAACTCTGTTTCTACGTTCGAGTGAACGTTCCAATTAACGATCGACGTTGACCTCTTTCAGCCCAAAACCAATTGAAACTTGCTTCTTTCCTTTCAAACCTTTTCCTTCCTCTAATATTTCTACAATGTTGTAGAAATTAATTTCGAGCTGTGGTGGCATCCGCTTGTTCGCGTTGAACGAGCAACTTTTTCAAAGGGAAATTTACTTTTCAACCTGGTTTAATCGAGCATAGATAAAAGGTCCACGGCGCGACGGAGGAAAATAATTTTGGGAATATTCGAACATGATACCGCAGCCCGGGAATCGTTATCGGGAAAGCAGTGGGAAAAATTCGGTTGGAATTCGGTCTTCTCGGTTATCGAGCAGCGCGATCAAGTGCTTAATTGAAAAGCTCTCGTGTTATAAACTCGATACGCATGCCGTCGATATCAATTGCCTTGCGCTTGTGCCAAGAGCCGTTTTCCTCCCAGTCGCAAAAATATTTTGCGCCGAGATTCGAATTTCATTATTTTCTTTTTCATCGTAACTGGACGGCTAAAAAACCAGTAGCTCTTGTTTATGGGTAATAGAATGCAAGTCACGTGGTTTTCTAGTAGCTGATCCATTGCGGTTAACTGATCGCAATCGACTACTAATTGCAATTTCTAACAATGATCGGCAGATGTAACGTTCACGTTTCGCTAGATCGAAAACGTGTTTCGAAAGATCTATATTTCTGAAAATCAGGAATTATTGAAAGCAAAAGTAGTGACAAGGAAGAGAATTTCTGAAAAGCCGAAGAAATTTCCTATCCCTTTGTAAACTGAATTCTTTCAGCCGCAAAAAAGGGGAAAAGACAGGCGATTGTGCGGTTTCCGCGGGGAAGAAAGAGCCATCTTCGTTACTTTATCTCGGCGTGTTTCATTCGGCACCAACGAACAATTATCCCAAAAGCTTGTATCGAATCTAACGGAAGGGGTTTTACGTCCCCTCTGCGTCTTTGAGCTAATGAATTTCTTATTCGAAAGTATTTCTATCAATCTCGTGAAAAGATTGGCGAATCGATCGGTCATCATCGTGAAATGGTGAAACGGTGAAACGGTGAAACGGTGAAACGGTGAAACGGTGAAAAGAAACTATCCAACCGCTCCATTTGCCGGCTTTCAAACGAAAGGGTTGCCGAGATGAAACTCTATACGGGGACAAAAGGCAAAGGGCACTCTTTGCAAAAACTGCCAGTATTACATTTCATAGCGCAAATGCGAGCACACGATAACGCGTACAAGTCCGAGTTAATCACGTAACTCGCATGTATCAATCTAGCTGGACGAACAGAGCGAAATATCATTTTGCAAATGGTTTGGTGGAAGAGGAAAAGGAAGAGGAGTGTTTTCAATCGGATCAGAGGTCTTTTGAGACGCAGCTTTTCAGATTCGTGGCAATGCCAATGGATAAGCCAGAGACCTGTCTTTGTCCAGATGGCTTGTCCAACAGTGCCAGTATGTATGTATTGTATGTACAGAGTGTACCTGCTACAAACGTAGTTTTTATTCTAGGGATTATTCATCTATAATGACTATTAATGACAAATAGAATATATTCTAAAAGTTTGGTGTACATCAACCGATAATTGTTCAGCGAGTTCTAGCTCGTTCAGAGAAGCGCACAAAGAGAGAGAGAGAGAGAGAGAGAGAGAGAGGGAAGGAATGACCCGATTCAATGCATCTCACTGAGGTGCACCACTCTCGTTTAATGGGGCCCTGAAACGTGCAAATCCTGTAGGCTCGCGACAGCAGTTTCTGTAATTGCGACAACGAACGTCCGTCACCAAAGGACCGCCGCGCCCCGACGTTTAATGGCT